TGTCTCCACTTCTAAAGCCGTCAAAAACTCTTACGGCTTTTATGCCTTTGATTCCGTCACAGCAAATTCTTCCAGAAATGCACGAGTGTACGATCACTTTCTGGAAAGCATTAACTGCACGCCCCTCCTTCTCCCCCTTCTTCTTCTTCTTCTTCTTCGAGAGAGATGGGGGAGGGAGTTAGCGAGGGAGAAAAAGCAGCCTTATCACCATCTCCTCCAGTAGGTGTTAAAAGACTGTGAAACTTATCTGAGCTGATAGGTAGGAAAATAAATCAGTTTGAATCAAGCAGAGGGAAAAAACACAGTTGTATAAACACAACAGGTGACTCAGCAGAAGGTACATGCGTGCCTGCGTGTGTACACAAAAGACCAGTTTTGTTTGTCGCCTTGGCTTTTAGCACCAGTATGGCAGGTTTGGCTTTTAGATGCGACTTAATTTTTTTTAGTCATCTCTTTTTTATGTTACCTTTTTTTTTATTTGAAGATCAGTGTGTTCTTTTCCCACTGTTGAAAGACAAGGGGAAATGATGTTCCTGTGTTGGTTAGTCTGTAGTGTTAGCTAAATATCTCATGAACTAAAGGATTCGTTACAATGCATCGTGCAGTACATAATCATTGGATGCACAAATGGTTTACTTTTTGAATCCACCTCATTCATGGTGGCCAACACAGCCAACTGACCTTAACAAACACAAATAAAGGCTATAACTCAGTTAGGGCTGGGCCATATCATATCATTCACGATACTACTACTAATAATAATAAAAAAAACTTGCCTGGGAAAATAAATTATACCATGACAGTGTTTCCCCTAGATGACTTGCCATGGCGGGGCGCTCATCTCATTTTAGTACACAAACACGTTCAATATAGTTGTTTTTCTACTGTTGGATAGTGCTTGAAACTAGGGATGCACAGCATTGGATTTTTGGCCGATATGCCGATATTATAAAACATTTGGCCGATAACCGATACTGATATATAAATACTTTCCTTTGTCAGAACATAGCCCTCTTATTTAGGCTTATCTGCTACAAAAATTGTGTAACAGCTGTAAGAGCTGGTGACATATTCAGTAACAACCATATGCATAGCACTTTAACTTATATTAAATGAAAAGTGTTAAATGTTATTTATTCGCATTAGTCACCTGTGATGCTGTCTCACTTGTGGAGGCTTGTTCCAGGTTCAGCTGCAGTGTGGGATCCTCTGCACTCTTGTGCATGAAGGACAAACTTTATAAGTCCAAAGTTTTTGTCTATCCATTGTGCTGTAAGACTAATCATGCTAACAGGGCTAACGCGACATCCAAATGTCTGTGGTAAAACTCACCCAAGTGCTATCAGCTGTTACCTTCTCAATGACGTTGGAAATGACGGCTTGTAACTCGGGTAAGACTACGTCGGAAAAATATCTCTGACTGGGAACGATGTAGCGAGGCTCAACGTAGACCATAAATCTTCAGAATCCAATATCCTCAACGAAAAAAACTTCCACACCGCCGACATTTTGACTTCTTTCTCTCTGCCGTGAATGAGGTAGGCGTGCGTGACGTCATCAAGTTGTGCTTCCGCTGCAGGCATTCTCATCACTGGGTTGTCATACAAATACAGCGTCTTTTATATCGTTAAGTTATTTTGATGGAATGGCAGATGTCCAATATTTAACTTTAATTCTAATATTGGCCGATACCATGCCGATGATATTGTGCATCCCTACTTGAAACACTTCTTGGTTTTTATTGGTGTACTGGGATCTGCTAGCTCTTGCTAGCATTAGCTTAGCATAGCTTCTGCTTCTTTTCTAGCTTCCTCTGTTTTCACTTGCTCCATGTGTCAGATGTTTATTTATTCCTTTGCCTCCTTTAGCAGTAATGATACCCAGTTACTCCAATCGGAGGTCACTAAAATTAATGTTGCTTCGGTGTGTGACTTTGCTAAAACCATGTCGGACTCTGTAGTTTTCTCTGGCCCCCTCCCCAACCTGACCAGCGATGACATGTTTAGCCGTATGTTGTCATTTAACTGCTGGGTGTCCAGGTGGTGTTTTGATAACAACGTGGGCTACATAGATAGCTGGAGTTTTTTTTAAATTCTTTTTTTTTTTTTTTTTTTTTTGGGAACTGCACCTGCACTTTAGTTTTTATGGTAGATTTTGTTGTTCTATATTTTGTACAGACTTTTTCAATCTAAATAACAGAAGGATCATTTTTATTTTTATACTATGAGACTGAATACTTTAATAAATAAAGTAATTGCAGTAAATTTAAATCTTGTTGTTTTTGAAGTTTTTATATAATACTGTAAAGCAACATGTTAAGTTAATTTTGTCAAATGAATAACTGTTTCTTTTTTTTTAATATCACAAAATGTATCATTATTGTCAGAATGCTCTGAAATATCACAATATTATGTTTGAGCCATATCGCCCACCCTAAACTCAGTCAGTTTTACAGGTACTGAGCTAAATTTTGTTGTGTCAGTAGTTGAGGCATTCACAGCACATACTCTGAACTCTAAACATTGTTCAAGGTGACTTTATTGTCATTCACATCACATGTGTTACATGAGGTGGAACGAAATTATGTACTCAAGGTCCCACGTACACCCAAAAATAGCAAAAATATAAACTATATGAAAGAAACAGTATACAAGGATATTAAGCTATACGCTAAACAATAATGTAATATAATATGGCGTATTAAACAGCAGCCTGAACATGAGTCTGTTGAGACCAGATGGGTATGAATATAGCAGCTTAAGGTAAGAAATCAGCAGCATGGATAATCAGCAGCACAGATAAGTCACATATCACCTATTAAGGTGGCATTACAGTGATTTTTCTGGTGAGGGATTTATGAGTAACAGCTACAGGGTAGAAGCTGTTCCTCAGTCTAGTGGTTCTACACTTAATGCTCCTCAACCTCCTGCCGGAGTGGAGCGGGGCAAAAAGTGTGTGTGCTGGGTGAGTGGGGTCCTTCATGATGCAGGTGGCCCTTTTCTTGCATCTGGAGGTGTAGATGTCTGTGATGGTGGGGAGGCTGACTCCAACAGTCTTCTGTGCAGCCTTCACCACTCTCTGCAAAGCTTTTCTTTCTGCAGTTGTGCAGCCTCCATGCCATACGTTGATGCTGGAGCACAGGATGCTCTCCACTGCACACCCGTAGAAGGAGGTGAGGACTGAGCTTCCCAGACCAGCTCGCCTCAGTTTACCAGCTTTGCTCAAAACTTTGACATTCACTGTGAGAGTCAACACTGTTTGTTAATAAAATAACTCATAAACCACCAGCCAAAGTAACTGGCTGTACACAAAACCCATTAACATTTGCACTAAACCCAATACAAGATGACCACCAGAACGAAGCTACCTTAGCTACCGCTAAAATATGTATAACATTCAGTTTTAGGCAGCATTCCTTCAAGTAATGCTAGGGCTGTAATTAAAATAGCTCCCTTTCACTTTTAAATACTAAAGGAGCTCTTTGATGGTGTATTTGCTGACTAAAGCTTCATTTTCTTAAAGTATAAGAAAGTCTTAACACTGGTGTTCTGTTCCAAAATCAGGTTAATGAGAACTATTGATTGCCCTTCTAAGTGACTCCTCAGACTTCATCTTGTTGCTGTTGTGTGTTTGTGTGTGTGTGTGTGTGTGTGTGTGTGTGTGTGTGAGTTGGCAGATTATACCTCCTGGCATGGCCATTGCATTTATTTGCTCTTTACTATTATGCAATAATTGCCTCCTGTTGCAGGGGATAATAATTCAACCAAATAAACCACAGAAGGAGGTGCCACCTACACACCATCATGCCAACATAGGTGTTTATGCACACCACCTTGTCAGACCTGTGCCTGGAGGGCAGGCACAGGCTGTGCTATTATCTCGTCGCACACGCTCGTCAAGAAAAAGAAATCTCACTGGGGAAAGAGGCTGTCATTATCTGCAATTGAGCTCAGAAGACAAGAAAGGGAAATCTGTCAAGTCGTATGGCAATTGAGATTGATTGTTTTAAGAAAACACTGTGCGTGCCGTGTTATTAACCCACCTTCCACACATTAGCTGTCTTAATATCTGTCTCTGATTTCCCTAACATGTATAACACAAAGTGAGGTACTCTGAACTCTTATTTTTTTTGCTGTGCTGCTCTTCTAAGACCGCAGTGACACAAGAGTATGAGGAATGTGTTATACCAGGTAAAAAAGTGTCCCCGGTCTCTGGGAACAAACGACCATCTCTCCGCAGGTCTGTGAAACATTCCTGGAGCGTCTAACGTCTGGACGGGGGGATGTAGAGGGGGCAGGAGGAAGGCGGCCTGGAGCTGTGGGCTCCCTTTGTTCCGGCCAAGCTAACTCCAATACACAAACACAAACACTGGTCTCGCTTTGCCAACACGCAGGCTGCATGCCAACTGCGCAGAGGGCGAGCGTATGACTTGGGTGACACTTGTTTATGTGTGGGAAAAGCTTAATTTATTTCATATAGGAAGGGGGATTATAAATGCAGATGCTCGTTAAGGCACACTCAGCATACCTGCCCCCACTTTTCCACTTGTTGTTTGTCAGCAGTATCACCATATCCTGGGACAAATCGCTCTCTAATAAGCCTCGGTACAAGTCAAGTGGCAGCTATTAAATGCATCGTTAGCCTAAAGTGCAAATTGACTGCTGCAGATGAATGGCCTGCCGGTTCTGTTTGGAAAGTGAGCCAGGAGAGAGGCACTCTGTATCGACAGTATTGATCCGGGCCCTCCTTGAAGGCTGGCTGGATTTATGTACTGCAGCTTTTTCAGACGTGTGGACGGATGATGCTGTTTGTCAAACGGTAGATGTAATCACTGCTATTAATCATGACACTCTCCCACACCCCTTTTTTTTTGTTTTAAACTGCTGGGGAAATAAATTTAGATTTTGTTTTTAAAGATCTTAGCACGACTAAATTATGTGTTGCTTTTAGTTCCAAGGTATTCTGTTTATCTTAACAAATTTCTTTTATTTCTTTTCCAGAAATCTTGGTCACAATAAGTTAACCTCTGTCAACCCTGAAGTGTTTATCAACCTTCCCAACCTGAGTGAGCTGTAAGTAATGGTTCATACAGCTGAACACATTCAGATTAATTGTTCTCAGTAATATCAAATTGTTGTATTTGTATTTTGAGCAGCTTATGTTGGTTTTGATTTTTATGCAGACCAATGTCACTCTCCATGTATTTTACACAGTACTCTCTAGCAGCATCCTGCTATGTGTTTCATTGAACTAAGTCCAATTAAGAATTAAGTGGTGGTTTTCTATATTAAGCCTTCCCCTCCACCACCCGATACTGTGGCCAGCGCTGGCCTTGTAAATATTTTATATAGTGAGGAGAGGGCTTGGCTTTGTGTCACTCAGCTCCAACGTACAGGACGTACACACACACACACACACACACACACACACACACACAGAGGCAAATCAAGGATACACACACTGCTGACATCTTTGGCAGGCCGGCCCGGCAGTCATAAGCTCCTGGACTGTTTTTACTCACGTGTTATTTTTGGTTTTTACAAAGATGACTTGCCACTTGCTCTGCGGCAGACGTGACAAGTTGTATTTGCAACGCTTTGATTTATGAATAGATTGAATTCAGATTAATGCGATGGAGCAAGCTGAAACTGTTGAAGTGAACTGCGATGACAAGAAGCTTAAACGTTTTAATACCTTTTCTATATTCTGATTTTAATGTACTGTTTTTTTTTTTTTTTTTTTTTCCAGACTGTGTTTAATTTATAAGTTTGAAAAGTTTTCATTTCCAGTTTTGTTCGGGGCACTTGTTAAACTCTGACCTGTCGTTTGTTACTTTCAGACGCTTGGATCACAATGAGCTGACCTCCATACCCGATTTAGGACAAGCTTCCAAACTCGTATCCCTCTACTTGTGAGTACTGCATCACCATCTTTTAAAAACGCTACCAGAAATATTATATTTTCTTTTGCTCTACTTTTAGCTCGGTGGATTTTTAAAAATTGCTCTTTAAATAGTCTTTTGAAATCCGTAGAGGATGCCTCTACAGCTCAGAAGAAACACAGACTTGATGTGAGATTAGCGATGAATGTGACCTTGCTGCACCAAACTAGATCAAGAATCTTCTTTTTTCTTTTGAGCTGTGTTGGAATCAATATGGAGTTCAGTCTTGAGTGATTAGCAGTCGCTCAAGGAACCGACGAGTCTCATTAGCTTGCTATGTGGTCCTGTCTGCAGTGAGTGGTGCTGCCTGTTTGGAGTGTCAGATCGTGTACGGTTTCAACTTGGTTTCTCCCAGTTGTGAAACTGCCTATGGGGATTGCCTGCTCTGGCATCTCACTGGAGATTTACTGCCGTATTTGGGAAGGGCGTGTGCACGCTTGTGTATGTCACAAATGTGAACTCAGCAATCCATTTGCAAACCTATTTTTCTTTTCTTTTTAAGTTGGTTAAAAAGAAAACAAAGGGTATACGATGAGATAACTTCGGTTTTTGCAGATTGAAGTTAGGGATTGAATGCAAAATGAAATAATTTAGGAGTTTATCGTGTAAATGATGGTATATTATTGTGTTTATCCTTCCTAAAGCTTCAGTATTGACACAGACATTTAAAGGGGTGTGGCCAAATTAAGCTATAAGTGTTAATTGCCAGAAAAGTGAATATAGCTGTTAACATAAACACACACAGGACTTTTGTTCTTCAGCATTTCACAGCTTTCCTCCCTTCACGTGACCAGCGAACATTTTCGCTTGACCTGAAACCAAATACTTTAACTCGGCTAGGTTAGTCTGGTTCTAATCATAAGCTGCACTCCGTCTGTTCTTTCACACCTATGCCGACTGCCTGCCTGGTAGTAAAGTGTACAGCTGTTTCTTCATGTCATGGTTGCTCATCGTCATATCGTTTTCAGCGGCTGAGCTTTGTGGGAGTCACACGCTCGCCTCTCCCCAGTGTGTCATCTGGCTGCTTCTCAGAAATCGTCCTGATGCACTAATGTGGTCAGAATACTTCTTTAAGCTGTACACAGTCAGCAGGAAGAGGATAGTCGGCATACGTGCAGTTTTGTTTAATTTGTGTGGATATTTTTGTTTAATACTTGGTGCTGTGTCAGTCTGACTTTGCTTTGATACGGACAGGAGCGAGTTCACCTTTACTTCACCGCAGACTGGAAAGTGGAAGGCCCTCCTAATGATCAGGGTGTCTTTTTTTGGCCTGACTTGAAGCTTGTTGCTAGGGAGGAAAGCCTCCAGTCCTGATGGGAGTGGAGGCTAGAGGGAGGGTCAGATTTTTACAAAGCTACGCAGCTGAAGCGAAGGCCCGGCTGAAGCACTTGCAGCTGCAGCTGTCCGTCACATGGCTTACAGTAAAACGAGTAACAGTGAACTGGGGGGTTAGGGTTAAGGATGAGAAAACAGGGAGGGAGTCAGAGATAAAAGGTTTGAACAGTGTCAGATCAGGGTGACATCCCTGTGTGTCAGAAGAGTGATGATTAAGGAGAAGTAATAAGAGGAAGGAGAGAGTCAAAGGAAATGAAAAAAGGTAGTGAGAAATAAACCCAGTTTATTTAAAGTGAATCCAGTATAACTATCTGAACTTGCCGTCCTGTATGGGAGCATTTGCGTGTGCACTGGCAGAGGCATTACTGTCCCTGTGCCATTGGTTGATGATTGTCTGGAATGTTGTCTGACAACAAGTTTGTGAGAGACTGCGGCTTACACACACGCAACTAAATGGACAAGAAATTCTTCCTTTAGCTGCTCATCAAACAAAACTTTCCCAAAGACTGAGAGGAGTTCGTATGTAGGTGCCACTGTCTGAAAGTCAGACTACCTCTGAGTGTTTCAGTGTACCGGGGGGGTAGTCGCCGTTTACTTGAGCCTTTTACACATGGCCCGTCTAATGAGAAACTTTTGTTTTGCCTCAGCGATGTGCTTGAAATGTACACAATGGAAGACTGGAAGTTGTTGGCAGCAAATGTTGGAGGTTCAAAAAGTACCTCCAGCACCAAAGTGTTCAACAGATAAAATGTAAATATGTAACTATATTAGTATGTACAACAGTAACGAATTGTAAAATAGAGTTTAAAAAGAGTGTCACTCAACTTGACTATTCAAGGAGAAAAGTAAATCTTTAAGAAGATTTTTCTTTTCAAATCGAGGCTCTGGACAGATCTAATGTGCCACGTCAGAACAAAGGATCATTCTGGTCTTCAGTCTGGTTTTGGGGATTTTCAGCAGTAGCTGGTTTGCTGACTTAAACATTCTGGCTGGCGTATAAAATTAAAGCTAAACAATTGTTGTAGATCGCTTTGTAGATGAACTCAGTTTGGATAAATAGATTTTAATGCTCACTGACTTCTTTACAGCTAGTCCAAACAGAGCCAAGACAAAAATGGATCCCATTGTCTTAAAACAACTGCAATCTCAAAAATGTTGTTTTTCACTGGGACCCAGAGCAGGAGCGATAACCTGGCTGCTGTTGTTGCCATGTTCACAGTGAGTGTTGTTTGCAACATGCATTCTCTCTCCGCTAACCAAAGTTTGGTCACATGTACAAATTGGACACTAATGCGCTCATGATGACGCTGCACATGCATTGGTGTTAGTGCATGCATGCATCATGGCGTGCACACATCACATTGTTTGATACACATTTAAAACGATGCTAAAGTTTAGATACAAAGTCCCGGGAGGTCTGGAGTGCAGAGCTGGGGGTAGGGGCGATGATGTATAGGCTTTGGCGTCTCTCCCGGCTGCAGTGAATTGATAATGTGCGAACTCATACAGACGTTTATTAATTTATTACACACCATGACCTTCATGGGGGTTGATGTCGGGGGCGGAGTGCCCCTTTTGATAATGCAGGGGGGAAAGCTGACATGGTTATTCTAGCAGAATCATGATGGAAGTGTCCGAAGACTGCACCAGAAGTGCTACAGCTTACTGCTGCTGCTATTTGTGCTTGAAATGACCTTAACCCTAATACATATAATTTTTATGAATGAAAAGTTAACTTTGCTAATAAAGTTCTGCTGAGGAACCATCCAAACACCATATGCCAGGCTCCCACAGTCACACAGTGCATTTGGCACTGAGGCCCTGCAGACTCCCAGAATGCCACAGCAGGATGGCGTAAAAAAAGACGAGAGAAGCAACAAAAAGTTTTAAAACACGGCGTCAAAATGACAGCAGAGCAAAACAAACTTTCCCAGCGTACTTCTCTCCGCCTTGTCAACATCAAAGCGGCCCCTTTAAAACAGCCCGGGATAAAAAATCAAACTGCCCGACGGATGATCTGATTTTGAAATAATTCTCCTTTTGTCCCGACCGTTGGCATCAAACAGAAAGAGACGAACAATCGACCCCAAAGATGACACTGGAAACGAGGGGGAGGGACCTTGCTGGTGTAAACCCCCGACACTCTTTTCCATACATCAAAAGAAGTGTCAAAAAGAGCCGGGCTCATGCTAATCAGACGGTCAGTGGGGCGGGGTAATGAGATTTGGAATTAATCTGAATTAAGCCGACTGAGGCCCCTCCACACATGAAAGAGAACAAGAGGCAACCGAGCTCCTCACTATCAGCAATGTCACCGGCTGTGGAATAATCACTTTTTATAAACACTACGATTGTACGCCTGGACTTCAAAGATGTGGAGCGCTGAGGCTTTTTATCTGTCTCTAACGCACAGCTGGAATCTAGCTGGGGGGGGGGGGGGGGGGGAATGAATGCAGTTAATGTGGAGAAAAATTTGGAAGTGAGCAACCTCTCCCACCAGTTTGAGTCTGATCTGTTTTTCCCAGCAAAAGGTTACCAGCTGTTGACCCCATCTCACCCCTTAATCCCACCCCCTTCCTCCCCTCTTCACTCCTTCCTTCCCTCCTTTTTGCTCACTGTAGCCACTGTCTGCTGCTCTGTCCCGTGTGTTTGCTTCCCATTTGTATTGTGTGTGTGTGTTTGTGCATGTGTGCTCATCCTTAACCATCTCTGCCTCTGTTTATTCAGGTGGGCCACTGTGGTGTGACCCGCTCTTCCTCCTAGTCACCAGTAAATGTGTGTGTTCATCAGCTGGTCAAAAGGCTGAAGGAAGTAGAGACTGACCTTGTTTTTATAGGTTTGACTTGTGGAGCACCTGCTCTCCATGCACTGTCTGTGACATGTATACTTAGCAAAGCTGCTAACTACATATTTAAGGTTTTTCATGGTGTCTGATTGTGGGTTAACTTGATCGTCTTCAGTGCCGCATTTCAAGCAAACTAACCCGATCTCATAAAGTCATCAACCAGTCAGCGTTTTCTGATTGTAATCAGTCTGAATGGGTCTGATCTCAACGTTCGTTGAAACTTTATTGCACCTCAGACCGAAGAGGTCTTTTGGATGAAAGACGAAACGTTTCTATTTTTTTATTTATTTATTGCTTTGGTTTTTTTTATTTTGTTTTTTTTTAAATATCCAGAGGACCAGACTTAACTTTTTAGATTTTTCTGCCTGGATTATTGAGCATGCATCAGGAGATTTATTGCACATTATTTTGTTTTTTTTAATCAGCAAATGAAAATAAAGATTAAATCTAGCAAAAGATAAAAATATGCAAAGCAGCAGGAAAGAGGAAAAAAAGTCCATGCAGTGAGTTGTGTGTATGTTATAAGTTTGTGTCAACATGTAAAAGAATAAAGAGATGGTTGATGCAGTTTGGTGACTTTAGGCAAAGGGCTGTTGAATCTTGATTTATTTATTTTTGGTAAGCTGACAGTTCAATAAATATTGTAGACATTTTTAGAGGCTCAGATTTTTTTTTGTTCTGTTGCAACAATCACCTGAATGGCAAAATATTTAATATAAAATCATGTTATATTTGCTAAAGCTGAATGTAACATACAAACCTGAATATAAGTCACGCACAAACGCACACACACACACACACACACACACACACACACA